GCTCTTATATATGTTGGATGAGAAGATGGAGGCGGCAGATAATAGTGCAGAGTCTGTTGAGGACATCACAGCAGCAGCTACAGCTCCAATACCAATGATGGAGATGTAGTTTGGAGTGAGGTACTGCAGAGCAATTGGCAGAACCTGACCAGCGTCTCCTCGCTTGAAGGGGGATGGGGAGCCATATATGGTCATGTTCCAATCTGGCATAAAAACATAAAAAGTACAAATAAATGAAAATATATTTCAACAATTTTATTAAATATATTTCTCTGTTGTTGTACCTGTTGATGCTGCGACTGCTCCAATCAACACAGATGGGATTCCAAGTACAAAAATAAGTGGAGCTGCAATAAAGCAGGTGATCCTGGCTGTATTTGATGAGGAGGCTGACAGAGTCCTCTGGTGGAAGTCCTGATATCCAAGGTTACCTAAAGCCTTAAACAAATGACAGTGTGACAGTTAGCCGTTCATTTTGTTATTTAGTCATTTATTAGGGTAATGTTGTTTTAGTTTATAATCTCTCAACTTTAGTTGTATCTCTAATTATGTGTATTTTATTAGCACTCAGCAAATGACAAACTGTTTATTTCATTTTGAGTTAACTTGTGTGCTTTAGGTTTATAATGTTCACATGGAGTACACATTATAGGTTGAAACATTTGCTCATTTGTTTCTCGTCAGACTAATTGTTTATGTCTATTTGGAGTTTCAGTGCTTGTTCAGAGGTCCCTTGAATGTAAATGAACATTTCTAGTATCAATTATAGTTTTAGTATTAATAATCATTAAATTCAATGAAAACTATGTCCTTTACCCCCCCCTCATTACATCATTAGGCTTACATCATGCAAACAGTTTCATACTCATGAAGGCCTAATGCTGAATGACTGAATATTGTTGAATGTAACTTGATCGAGTTCACTTGTTAACCACAATTTCTCCACTCATGTTTTCTAAGATGAATATCGTGGTCCACATTGATATCCTTAGTTTTTTCTGGTTTTAAAGGGAGACCCTGTTCTTTATTTTGTTTATGAACCTCATTGATCCATCTCTGACCTGGATCCATTTATAGGCGAGTCACTGCTTGGTTTGAGTTTTGATAACTTTGTAAATTACTTAAATAATCACTTTAAAGCAGATTGAACAGCAACCGTGTGTGTGCTAATAAAGAATGCTGCAAAGCATGTTAATGTCATTCACATAGTTTATTTTGGATGATTGTTTGTACTTAGTGACCTTTATTTTAAAAACATTTAGATCTTTTAATACCCATCAAGAGACTAGTGCTAGAAATCTGTCTTGGTCTCTGCAACTGCTAATGTTTTTCTGTGTTTGTTGCCTTTACAAATTCAGTCCTAAATAAAAATAAATGCAGGCCTTACCAATAATAAGAAATTATCAATCCATCTCCATAGCCTTTCTTTATCTACAGAACCAATCCAGGGGGCTTGGTAGGTAAAGTTGAAAGCAGTTTTAGTAATGTCCATAGAGTGGGGGTTCATTAAGGTGAAGGGGACACAGAGCCACTGCAGAACAGAAGAAGATCCAATGACATAAAGACTAAGTTACAATGTTCACAATCACATTAGATTTGCCTATATTAAAACCCTGTTCCCAAAAAGTTTGGGATGCAAAATGTAAAAACACTGTAAAATTGTAATACAAATACAATGCAATATATTGGAAACCATTCCAATCCTATATTATAAGCAGTAAGTTGAAACTGTTGTGGTTAGGAGTCTCTTCTGCGAACTGTTTATGGCCCAGACGGGCATTGTTAACGCTGTGTATTTTTTGACATTGGGATAAATCAAAGCTGCTGAGGAAAAAGTGCATAATCACAGCACACATGCTCCAGAAGGTAAAGAACCATTTATCTTAAAGATTAACCTTTCAACCTCAGATTAAAATCTACTGTTTTTCAAAAAATATAGGCTGATTTAGAATTTAATGGCTACAACACGCTTAAAAAAAAGGGGTGGGACGAGGGCAACGACAGTTAAGGGAGAAATGTATAATTAAGGAAACGGCTCAAATAATTGCCAGTTTCATCATCTTTAGTACATAATGTGCATGAAGATTCAGACAATCTGGAGAATCTAGAGGAGCCAGAAAACAAACGATTAAAGACCTTCAGGCCCTCAAGTCTGAAAACGGTGTCCAGTGAGCACCATCAGTCACAGATCAAAACTCACAAAGAAAAAACTGATGTTTAATATAATTTAAGGGGATAGAAAGAAAACCTCTCCTGTGGTGCATAAATAAAAGTTTGATATATATATTTTTCAAAGCCACAGATCTTGTATTTCTCATGGCCAAGGAGCAGAGGGAACATCCAACTTGCTATAAACACAATCTGATGAGTTTGGAGACATTAATGCATATATTACTTTTTTTTTTAAAGTGAAGTGCCATCAAATTAAAAAAAAACAAAAAAACCCATAAAAAACAACAACAACTAAGTTTTCATGTATTTTCAAATCCATAAAGGCTTTATTAAAGTATTTACATTAATTGTGCTCTTTTATTTATATTAAACACAGTTTCCCTATATTTTATTAAGGAGGGATGTAGTTTCCCATGCAAGTGAACTCACCATACTGAAGAAAATGAGTGTTAGCTGTATTATGTCTGTGTAGGCTACAGAGTAGAGACCTCCCATTAATGTGTATATGATGGCTACAGCAGCAGAGATCCAAATGGAAACAGCGTAGGATAAATCCAGGACCACGCTTATTGTTGCTCCTATAAAAGTAACACAGTAAATGATACAGAATCACATGTATCAGAATTACCTTCATTCAGTTTAGGAAAATGAGTTCAGTCACTTTAGGATGACACCAACAGCATGTGTCAGTATGACTTACAGTAATACTATCATACTAGTTTGTTGTATAGGTGTTTGGATGCAGTTAAAACTATTATAGCAGCCAACCTTAAAACACTTGTTTCTATCCTGGAAATTATTCAGTTGCAGATCTTATTACTAGAGAAGGAAAACAAAAGTTATGTGGGTATCACTCACCTAAGCCGATAAGAGTTCCTGTCACCCAGATTAGATCAGAAATTAACAGAGCCACGGACAGAGCTCCACTTATTGACTTTCCATACTTGATCTGGAATGGGTCCATCATTGTCACATATTTTCTTTCTCTCATTGGTTTGGCAAAGAAAAGTCCACCTTAACGACAGGTAGAACACATTTCTTCACATCCACTACTGAAAATCAGTGGACTTCCTCTTTAAGATTCATTCATAGTCTTATGCGAATCATATTTTACGCTAATTTGCACAGATGCGTCCCCACTTCCTTATAAGACATGCTTGGCCTGTCTTTTTCAAAGCCTAATTTAGAAAAGGTAGGTTTTTAGATTTTTCCTTATGATTTTGCACAGCTTCCTCTAGAGGCATAAAAAGTGTTTGTGAAAATTTGTGGCGTTCCTATGTAAAAAAAAAAAAACACATTTAAAGTAATCATATAGAAATCATATTTTTCCACACAGATATACGCCTTTGTCTTATAAAACACATCATTCCTGATTTAGACATTAAAAGTAATATCTAGAAATAAAAACCTTGCTTTGAAAAAGGTCGTTTTTGTAGATGTTACCTAATAGTTCAGATGAATATGATATTTGTAGGCGTAACCAAGTATGTGACAAGGAAATCATAATGATTAAAGTCTGTAGTGTAGTACCTTACGCACACATGAGCCGCTTTCGTCAGAAAATAGGAAATCATGTGCAAATGCAGAAATTATACAGGTAATGGTGTTATTATTAAAACTCTTACCAACAATAAAAGACAGGGCTGCTGTTAATGGCATGACTGCCCAGGCCAGCCCCATAGTTGGTGTGTACACTGCTTCTGTCAGACCAACGATAAAGCCCCCGCCAACAAAAGTAGCTGCAGAGAGCACAGCACAAGCACACATGGAGGAATTACACCGTGACCTTCAGGCTCAGGTAAAGAGCCTTCTAAATTAATATTGCCTACTGATAAGCAGTTAATTGATGGTGTGAACACTTTTGCACATGAGATGAAGTTTTAAAAACATCTGTTTTCTCTTTTAACTGTGTCTTAGTGTAACTCAAAATGTAGGAATTCAATTGCACAAAAAAAATTTGACTTAAGCAAGGAATATTAATTAAAAAAAAACCAAAAAAAACCCCGACTTAAGCTTAATGGTTCCACTTCACTGTAATATGTAATAAATTAGGCACAACAACACATTTTTTAAAATAACTGTATTAAGAAAGGTTTGTTGTCTTTTACATACGAACAGACTAGTCCCTTTATCTTAATAGCTGCACATGTTTTTGTTGAAATAATGTCAAATGGGGGACTCCCTGTTAAAGAGAGACAGGTTGTTGTTCACCAGCTACTTTACTAACTATTTACTTTGGTGGAGTTAGAACAAGTTATATTCTCTTCTATTACAAAAGCTGCACTGTGATGAGCTCATGCAACAACATACTCATTTTGTGCTTCACAATGTTCTTACACAGTTTCACTCAATGAAAGTAGCTACAATAACAGCCAAATATCTACAAACATGCACTCTCACCGGTCATTGTGAAGACTCCTACTACCATACTGATCCCTCTGTTTCCCAGCAAAGTGACCTCTGTCCGGGCTGCTTGGCTGCTTTTCTGCACCCGTTTGGACTTCATCGAGGCCCACAGACCAGTGCCCAGCACCATCAGGTAGAAGACCACCATTACCACCAGCCCTGGGATGTTCAGAGCCATTGTGTGCTGCCTTGATGACTGGCAAAACGTGGATCCACTGATGAAAAAATAAATAAATAAATAATACAAATAAGACTAATAAGTTGTTTAAATGCAAAATGTTTAGTTCAATCCTAACATTTCCTACAAACTGTGCTTCCAACTATGAACTATCAGTTGTAATGTGATACGGGTGGGGCAGTCAAGGGCAGTCTGGGGTGCTACTGTTTGATTAGATTTTAGTAAATGTTTGACAGTTTCTCACAACTCCCGGAATAGCTCTTGATTGGGGTTGGAATTTTCCTTCACAATGTAAGGTTTGTTTTTAAGACTTTTCCCTCTTGGTTGAATTACTCAGCTATAGTTTAGTTTTATATTGGCATGTCTCCAAAACTGTGTTCAGAAAACCAAGGCTGGAAATGGAAAAAAGAAACTGTAATTATACTTACAGCTCTATAAACTGATATCTGTAGATGAATAAGCTGTCAGGACAGTCACAACCAATGTAGCAGAATTCTAAATACTAGACCATACTTTAGTTACATTTATTTTTACTGTTTACTAGTTATTAAGTTAGTGAAAGCGGTTAAAAATGTATTCAGTCAGTACAGAATCATCTTCTATCCTAAAATATCATCAAGAAAGCAGAATTAATTCAAATCAAGAAATAGGATCAGTTAGAGAGACAGAGGAGTCTGCATATAAGAAAAGATTAAAGCTCCTTTCTGAAGATCAGAAATCTCTATTTTTGCACTAGGATGTCAAAAACCTGTGGCTACAGCCTTGATGGCCTCACTTGGTTAAAGACGGAGTGTGATTGAAATCAGGGGGTTCCATTAAATCTTCTTATATTTTCACTAGTTTTTCAATGATTGATACTCGAAACGATTGGAAAGTTAAGGACATTTATTCGTTTATTTGTGATTTTG